AAATTTTAGCAGAAATACAGGGCGATTTGGGCTATATTTTGGTCTAATTTGATGTTAAATTGCCACGAAAACTCATGAAAATAGATGACAAATAAGATATCTGACTGCAAACAACTATATAAAAGATCTTTGAACATAATGGATTTTATACAGATCGACACTCCCCACCTTACTTTTTCTAACACCAAAAACCCGACCTTTATAGCTTGAACCGTTGAAAAGTTATTTAAAAAATGGTCACGGCTCTTATATTTTGAAATGGATGATAGTAAGAATTTACCTTTTATTTTGAGAAGAAAGATAAACGAACATTCAATCAAATCTTGAATGTTTAGTTAAATATTTTTGATAAAAGAGAACTATATATTTCTAATAAAATAGAAAACTTGACTCATTTTCATGCTTTATAAAGATATTGAATAGATAAAAAAACTATTCATTTTTCTGATTAAATTTCTTATAGATCAATCTAGATTAAGATAGCAATCAGAACAGATTCAATTACATTTTGATTATAAAAATATTAATATTAATTGTTTCTTTAATTCTGCTTATGCAGTTTCAAAAATGCAAATTTTGTTCTCTTAGTTTAAAAAAAAAGAATATTTTGTTTGTTCTTTAAAATTCAATTCATTACTAAAACTTTTTCTAATTACTACTATAACAACAAAAAGTATGCTGCTGTTGAATAATCATCTTGTATGACGAACTATAATTCAAATTAGTGCAGTCAATAGTAAGGTTTTGTTATGTTATGCAACAAAATTACAGTATGAAAAAGATATTAAAATAAAACGATTACAACATTTGTGCATTTCTTTGACAAATGAGTTCATACATGCTAAATTTAACTTCATAAAGAAATGCGAAGTTGTCATCAAAAAAAAAAAAACTTTAATTAAAAAAGAAAGTATTTAATTTTTTTATAATTGTTAAATTAAAAAAAAGCACGCACTGTGAAATAATACTTGAAATTTATCTTTACATATAAAATAACAATAATAGGTTTTCTATCACGCAGTACAAAATATATATGAAACTAGAATAAAACTGTCGCAAATAATAATGCTAGAATTGATCTAAGATGACTGAGGCAATTTATAGAAATAGCAAAAATCTCGACTAATCGAAATCACGAATAAAAAATGATTAAATATTATTGCAATTTGGTGATAGGAAAATAGAAATTACTGTCTAAAAGAATTTGCAAAAAAGCTTTTCAATGTCTTCAATAAAAAGATTAAAAAAATAAATCTTATTCCCAA